GCACAACGATGCAGTCATCTTTATGTGCCAGGCCGAGCTCAGCATCTGGCCTGTAGCTGGTAAGCAGTACATGCCTGCTGACCAAAGAACAGTTCTGTGAATTCAGTCTTCAAGATATACTGCAAACTTAAAATTCCTGGCATCGCCTTAGTTTCTTAATTAGGATTAAACAGAATGCCTATCTGGGAATATGCCACTGGGAAGGTGCTTCAGTTTGGGGCAAAGCCAATTCCAGATGAAAACAAGACATGGGGGTAAATGCAGACAAGGACCTCCACCATGCGTGCCCCAGATCATTTCAGAGAAAACCAAGTCCGCTGCCTCAGGAAAAAAACAGGTAACAAGCAGAATTCCAGAGGCGCAGAGCCCCGCTGTCCAGGCCCCCATGGAGTGAGCTCGAGGCCCCTGTGCTGGAGCTGGGCAGATGGTACTCACGGTGCTGGTGGCACCTGGCCAGGAGCTCCAGGTCATCGATGTGGTAGTAGTCGTAGCCCGAGGTTCCCAGCACTTCAAAAGGCAGGTATCCTATGATTGGAGGGGCCCTGGCCAAGGACACAGGGGAGGGAGTGTTCATCAGAGAGGAAACACACTGCAGGACTCATCGAGGTGGCCATGCCTTAGAACACTGAGGGTGCAGTTTGTGTGTTTAATGATCAACCCAGAGGCCTCATTTCTCAAGAACGTGGGGAAGAAAAACTTTGCAATGGTCAAAACCAGAGACGCTGTGTTTTCCAAAGGGCTCAACTTGTTTTGGCATTTAGACACTCTGTTCCCTTGGCATATTCCGGCCCAAATAATAATAATAAACTATATCACTACTGAATAATTAAAAGCAGCTACACATTGGGTCAGCCCAATGCCGAAGTGTGATAAAAAATTAAAGGGTGGGGAGAGAAGATTTTTTAGTACTTAAGCTATGAATAATGTTACAAAAAAAAGAAAAAAAGATTGGGCTCAAGGATTAAAGGGGTGTTGAAAGAAAAAAAATGAGATGTTTCTCTCACATCTGTTCTTGCTTTACTGGGAGCTGGAAAGGGCCCCAAGCAGGGATCATTCCCTAAAATGCCCCTGGGCCGAGGCCTCTGACCCTAACACAGAGCGTACCCATGGAAGGGGCAAATGCAGTTGGAGGGAAACCATCTCACCCTTGGCCAGAAATAACTTTTCCTCCTGCCAGAAAGTCCTTTTCCTTCGACGGACCAGGCCCAACTTTTCTCTCCCAAGGATAGCATGGTTCATGCAAACAACACTTGAAAAGGACCCAACCCAAATATGTTTTTCTTTTCACAAACCTGTGATCCAGAAATAAAAATTTCCATTCCAAGCTGTGCCTTGAAGTGAATTCCTCTAAAGGTTCGTCAACTATGCACATTTCCTGTATGGGAAGGGGAAAAAATGTTGCCTGCAAGTGCTGGATGCGACCCTAGGTCTGTTCTAAAGGAGTGCGCAGTGGGTAACAGAAGTTAAAATCATTCTGAGCAAGTCTCCAAGTTGCATTGGACTGAAACCCATCATCTGTAGAATATTAGCTGATACTAAATTTATTTCACAAGCTGAGGAAAAATACCTAGGAGCCAAAATGTCACACCACTCCCTTCCCATTACCTAGAAGTGTGGTAAACATGCGGAAAATGGCTTTTCCTCTGAATCTGAATGACTAATGTAACTCAACCTTCATGCCATAGATGCAAGAGCAATCATAGATGAGAGAATACAGACCCACCCTCAGCTTTTTGACATTTGGTAGGAAGTGGGAAGAGCTACAGAGCTGGAGAGCAGCCTCTGCAGGCCGGGGGACACGGATGCTGACTTCACACAGAGGGACTCGCAGGAAACCAGCGCAAGGGGAAAGGCAGGCACAGAAACCAGACATTTCAGATTTTCAAAGCCAGTGACAACGTCATCATAATTTTATCCTCTCCCCTAAGGACAATGAATGCAATATCACTAAATATGACTCAATTGCAAAAGCTCCACACCATGAATTCTCTCTCGGGTACTTGCCTTCAAGAATTGTGGGGTCGCCAGACGAACGGTGGCGATGAAGCAGACCTCCTTTCCTAGTGGCATCCGGCAAGGTCTTGAAAGGGCATTGTCAAAGCCATTACAGGAGGGGCTAGGCACTGTGGGGAAGAAGAGGACACATAGGTGAGCCCTGTCTGGTGACAGTAGCCAACCGGTTCCTGGCACTTACTTTAAGCCAAGAACCACTCCCCGGGCTTCCTGTATATTAATTCCTTTCATTCTTACAACAAGCCAATGAGGTAGGTACCACTGCACGGATGAGGAAACTGAGGCAAAGAGTGGTGGAGTAACTTGTGCAAAACTGAACAACTTGCTAGTGGCAGAGCTGGGAGTTGTGTCTGTGCCAGTGACCAATGTATTATTGCACTGCCTCTCACTTCCACCGGTCCTAGAGCCCTTAGCTCATTGTGCTGGGAAGACACTCCACCACGTGAAGACAGCCTCGCTCCACATCCCGGCTCTGCGTGCTCACTGCAGCCGGTGTTCTAAGGGTGAGTTCCACATCAGATGGTGTTTCAGAGACCAACAGTCTCAGGGAGAGTAGTGGTGTCCCTGCATGCACTGATACCCCCTTCCCTGCCCCTGGCCCTGGCTTGGCACACCTGGGATTCAAGGGTTTCTGCCCTGAAGCCCTCCCCTGGGGGCCCAGGCTGATGCAGGGGCTGCATCTGGACCTCTGAGGAGGAGGCCTCTGGATTTAGGGTCATCCCCAGAGGTACACAGTGCCCACAATGAGACTCGCTAGTTCCACAGCACTGCACAGGTGAAAAAATCCGTTCCCATGCGTATTTATTCTCAGAGCCTGGGAAGGCATTACTGTCCTCACTCTACAGACAAGGAAACTGAGGCCCAGAAAGTTCTGTAATTAACCAAGGTCACTCAGAGTAGAAGTAACAGAACAGGGATGCCAGGTCAGTGCTTCTAACAGGGAAGAGAGGGGATTGTTCTAGATTCACATCCACTGTGGAGCGGAGACCAGGACCTCCAGGAGGCGCCACTTGGCATCAGCAGAGTCTTCCCTGAAAGGCTCCAGACCTGCCCTCAGTGTCACTGTGGAGAAATGATGCACATTGTGGGCCAGAGAAAAATTCTGCTGTTTTTAGGTGGAATTCGCTAGGTGGGAAAAAGAACCCTGTTAAATATGAGAAAAATTGGCTATACAACAGATTCCCCAGGGACCTTTGGCACAACTGCCTAAGTCCTAGCTCAGCTCATTCAGAAACGGGGGGAGAAGCACAGACATCGGCACTTTCAGAAGCTCCAAAGGTTTTTCAACATGCAGCCAGGGTTGAGGATCCCCATGGCAGATCATCTACACTTCCTTTTCTTTTTAAAATGTGGTTGATTATATCCTACACATTCTGAACTTGCAAATTTAAACATCGTCATGTTTTCCAATTTAACTAAAAACATATAGCACCAGAAAACCAAATGCCTTATAAAACGAAATCTGCAAGATTTTCTTTGGATTTTAGCTTTCCAATCATTTTTTTATTTTATATATTTACATGTTTCTAAGTGATTCTATAACGTGGTCTTTCCCCCACTCACATGAATAAATTCATTTTACCAAACATGTTCTCTGAATTCATTCATATCAACACTAATAAATGTTTCCAAACATGAACATAAAGTGAGTAAAATAAAAAATAGTGGTCTCTGGAGAGTTCACATCTGTCACAAATTGGCTTAGACTACTGCAGATATTTGGTAGGGTGAGCCAAGAGACTTATCAAAGGGAAGGAAAACAATTCCACATAAGGGAAGGTCTGCAGATGTGAACATCTGCATAATTTTTAAAAAAGGACATTTAAAATTTTTCCAGATGTGAAATACCCTCTTTGCTTGAAACTAAGAGACATTATCCAGCCAGATAATGACCTAATAAAATTCCCCCAACTCTTTCAGAATACAAAGACCTTCCAAGCAAACTTCCCAGGACTTCCCAGGAATCCAAGAGAAAGCCTCCCTTATCTGTAAATGCTGCGCCTTGTTTGAATGATGCTTTTGGCTGCTACATTCATGTGCTCTGCCAGTAAGTGCCTTCCTCCTGATCCACTGGGAGCAGGAGACGGGGACAGAAGAGCGAGAGGTGGAAGCACCTGCCCCAGGACTCACTGCCCCTTGCGACTTCCTCCAGGGGAGCAGAGACTCAGCCCATGAACACTGCGTGGATGTTCTGCAGAGCCTGCTGGCTGCCTCCCAACGTGGTTTTATCTGTTCTTTTATATTCTAAGGCTATAAAGATGAAAATGCATCCCCCAAAGGGAAGTTTCATTACTGCTTGCAGCCTACGCTTGATAAGCTCGGCATTTTACAGATGGGCCCAGAATTGAGCAACTTCTCTTCTAAACAAGCTTTTCCCACCAAAAGGCAACTGAGGGCTTGATCAGGGGAGACAGACAGAAAATCAAGGATGAACGTTTTAATAGAGGCCAAGGGGAAAACCTGGGGGAAAACCATGGGGAAGAAGATACTTTAAACATTTTGTGGATTGCATTTGAACGACCTTCACTCTCAGCGGGAGCCTTCTTGCATATCTAGAGCCAACGCATATGCAAACTGCTCCCTGGGACTTCCGAGTCATATTTAGCACTTAGAATAACTTCTCTGGCACTTTGTATCCCAAGGTAGTTTAGAGACATTAATTAAGGATTCAATTAGTTGTTTTAATTTAAGTAATAGAAAAAATACGTCTAATTACAACTGGCTTCCTGAGCCTCTCAGAAGGATTAACCACTAAATGCAGGCACAGCCCTGTTTTCTCAGATCTCTGACTACTCATGATATAAAGGAAAGTGATTCTTTCTTGCCACATTTTCCCCCTAGGGTCATCTTAGTCAAAACTGATCTTACTCTTCCCAAAAGGTAAGTAGGTAGATTTCTCTGTGGCAGGAGCTGGGTCTTATTCTCTGTCTCCAGCTCTGAGCAGGTGCCCTGCACATAGCAGGTGTTCAACATGTGTTTACTGGATGAATCTATCATGAGATGACGTTCCATCTCACATCCAAACCACAGCTTAAGGCCCAGTTTGGGAAGAGACCTTCCGGTCCTTGCCAGTAATGAGTGCACAGACCTTGGGGCCCCAAACTGGCTTTCTCTCCACGGTGAGACCTGGTGCTGCTGGTGGCTGTGCCCGCTCGACCAGCTGTGGAGGGCGCCCACAGGGCATGGCTCTGGGTGCCACTGGCACTCAGGCTAGCTCACTGCCCCACTGATGCATTAACACTGGTCAGCAGGAGGCCTGTGTGTGGCACACCACGATCACCACACTGTGATGGAAAACAGTGGAAATGCCCATTGTGAGCTCCCGCTTGAAGACATGCAGGGTGGTGCTCTGCTTTTAGTCTATATTAAAACGGTTCACAGGTTATCAAGCCCCGCACCTTTCACAACAGTCTCTAAGTTCAGAGATTTTGAAAGAGTTTCGCCTTGAGCTGGCCTTTCTGGAATCCCAAAAAACAAGAGAGTCCAAAGGTTCTCTGGAGACTCAGAATGACAAATGCCTGTCTCATTTGGAAGCCCCCAAGGTTAGCTTCCAAGTCTGTCTGATGAGCTCCCAAATCAGTCATGACAAGGAGATAAAGATGACTGCAAGGGCAGGGAGATCTCAGGCAGCAGGAGAAATTTCAAAAGGGGTTAGGAAAGGGCGAGGAAGAGGCAGAGATGGTAATAGTGACCTTCAGCTAACAGCAAAAGAATAAAAGAAACGAAGAAATGGAGAAAGATGTACTGACTCTGCTCCACTCAGTCATAGACTCAGTCATCAGAACAATTACGCATTCTCATCAGAGACAGCCTGCTTATAATAAATCAGCTGCAACAGCTGGAGGAAAACATACTAACAGTTTGCAAGGAAAGTGACAAATAGCTTTCTCAACACTTCTCAGAACAAATAAAAAACAAATCTGATAGGTGTGTGCAAGATGTGAAATAATCATTGTGGAGGTTTGCTCCAGGAAGAATCAAGTTCCTAAATCCCAGTGGTGATAAACATCCGAAAAGTCTGAGCTATGGTGCTGAAATGCAGAGGGGAAAACAATTCTCCGCACATTCGTGAGAAATCATCTCCCATGCATTAGGCACTACTTTCTGACTCTTACTTCCTCCTCTTCACAGCATGCTCGATCCATGTGTTCCGAGCAGGCAGGACCTGGGTTCTTAGGCTGGCAGCAGCACGGGGATCCCGCCTGTTCCTCTGCCGGGGCCCTGCCTGAATCGCTCGGTGGTGCTTGGGTCTTGCTTCCCTTCTGCCAGTTCTGCTTAGCGCAGGGAAGAACAACATTGGACAGCAGGAGAGAGCCACATGAGAAAGCTGGGGTGTGCAATTTGGTGGACTGAGAAAAGTACCCTAAAGAGAAACTATATGTCTTACTTATTTCTTCTTTCCTCTGGTGTTCTTAACTAACATGAGTATTTCCAGGGGCCAGAAGACTGTAATGGCGTTGACGAGACATCCACCAGATGGCTGGTGTGGACGGGCCGGGTTATTTGTATGCTCGGGAAAGTGCACTTCCTATAGGCCCTCAGCTCTGTCTTCCAAATGGATATCGTGTACACATTTTTATCACAATTACGGGACAACTTGTACGAAAGTTCTCTACTCCCAGACTGAAACAAGCAGAAAGATGTGGTTGGTAAGCGTCTGACCATTCCTCATACATTAGAACAGAGACCCTAGATATTTGCGCAGGACGATGCCCTGGGTAACAATTGGCTCTTTATCATGATTTTAACTCCTCTGTAATCCAATCTGGCAGCAATGATCACTGCTGGAGAAGGACATGATGCTTCTCTGTTGGCTGCAGGGGACGTTCTGGTTCCTGCTCATAGAAGCTTGTGATGGATAGATTCGACATGCCTCCCATGAAGCTCTTCAACCTCCGTTCCCAGTGAGGTCTGGCATGTGTGCGCTGTTTCCTTAACTGAGACATCTCAATTAATTCAGCTTGAGGGGAAAACACACACACACACACCCCAACCCTCAAAGCCATAAAATGAGGCAACCTACAGAAATCCCACAGACCATACAGAACCAAGTGTTATAAGCTGAAAACCCTCCACTTCTGCCAGCACTTCAAATCTGGCTGTGTGGTTA